TTTTTTTTTTTTTCCAGAAAAGACCATTCTGATTTCCAAGGGAAAACATTCTCATTTTTTTATGACGACCTGAATACCTAAGTCCCTGGTACAGAGACCAAGCGATTTGCACATTGTTGGGATTCAGGGCTTGCACCTGTCCTGTTTGCAGCCATGGGCAAGAGGCCACAAAGCAGCAAGCCAGGCCTTGTGCACAGCAGCTCTCAGCCTGGCTGGCAAAGGTGGAGCAGAGACAGCTACAGAGTAAGGCACAAGCCCTGTCCTAGCCACTCAGATCTATGTGTTTTAAGTGATTTCAGAGATACAGGGGAAAACTGCTGCAGATTAACCATTACAGTTGGATTTCATGAAACAATACGTTATTTGTCAAATCAAAATGTCTTAAATATATCCTTATGTAAATGAAATCCATCGTGTGATATGACGAAAACCTGAAGACTACTGCAGCTGTTCTTATGTACTCCTGTTTTGTTACACCAAGCTTTTTTCAAATGGCAGTTTAAGTGTGCAATTGAAAATCTAAAATTTAATTCGGAATGAAGTGTCTTTCCAGGCAGACTGTCAAGACAGGCATGCTATAACATGTATGAACATCTGATTTCTCTCTTCGATGACTTACGAGATTATAGTTAAAAGAGATCTGAAGCATCACAAACTTTCCATTCACCATGTAAATGCTGCAGTTCGTGAAACAAGTAAAGATACGACCAAGCAGGGCACAACCCTAGATGTCTTGCTCATGTGAGAAACCCTTATTCATACATCCACAAAAACCAAGGGGACTGCTCTCCTGAATAAAGATTACTCCCATATGACTTATCTGAATAAAGGATACTCCTATATGACTTTGTAGAGTTGGGCTTATTTGACCATAAATCAAAATGAGAAAAAAGAAGAGTAGAGTGGGGAGAATTGAGAAAAAGAACTGGCATTTTGTTCCTCATCCAGCTCCAGGACTGATAACAGCCGTGCCTGGGTACATTTTCTGTCTGCTGGCTGAATGCCTGAGCTATTTTGATTCAACATCAGGCAGAACATTTAACAACTCCGCAACACACAGGGCTAATTACAAGATTATTGTCATCTCATTCTCCTATTGGAGCATTCTTTTGCATTCCTGCTATAACGTTCTG